AAACGCGCTAATCTCTGGAACTACCAGTCCGATTTGAAAATTTCTTTTTGTATATTATAGCCAAATTCATGTTGAATAGTATAGGCTATCTAGCATTAAGCTATATCACTCAGCTAGCCTTAAATATGGATATTTGTTAAGCAAGTCAGAAGAAAAAGCACTCCCGAAATGTTTTATCCGCGTACGCTGGTGTTATCGTTAGGAATACGTAAATACAATGTTCTAGAAAAATATAGATCTTTACTCCGTCTAAAAAAAAAAGTCCGCGATAACATATGTCTATTTCTTATACATGAGCCATAAATAAGTATTTTGTGACAAAAAATATTGAAAATTTAAAAGTGATTTATGAGCGTTATTATTAGGCATGGCCTATTTATCCTTACGAACTAAAATTACTTCATCATCAAGACAATTTTATGAAAATAGACTTTGTTCGTTATACCATGTTATTTGGACGCATAGTTTAAGAGATAATGAAAAATTAAAATAATTCAATACTTGGCTGGGCGCGCGAACGACGCATAAATCCTAGCCGCCCTGTGAGAACGCTCAATCGGGAGGGGGAGAGAAAGTGGATAAAACTTACCTTCACTCTATATCATACATAATATGCCGACAGATAAAAGTACTCCATTAATTATGCCAATTTTTCCATCCATTGCTATCAAATAAAATATTTAATTGCAATTATAAAATGCTTGAACTAGGTCATGTCGCGCACCACCGACACGTGATGCCGCGGGTGAAACCGCGGGGCACAGCTAGTTATTTGTATAATATTGATCTGACTGATCCTGTGCCGTGTAATGGTGGCACTACCCCTTGTTCACAGGCATGTTAACGTTCAAAATCAGCCCCCGCCTTTGCTCAATTTTTCTCGCCATTTTACCACGTTTTTAATAAGTCCCTTTCTTGTTTGTCTGTCTGTCTGTCGTACCGGGTGGAATCATGCAACTCAAATTTCGAGCACTTCCCGATGAGCTAGAGACTTGAAATTATGAACATAGCTCCGTATCAGATGATAATGTATATGACAATAAAAAACGTGGTATATTAATTTATTTTAGTACAAAATAAAAACTTTTTTACTAATAACGTCATTTGATAGTTTTTTCCTGCATGGAAAAACATTTTTTTTTTGTTAATCAATGTGCCAAATTTGTGCCATTGCGTCATGTTTGCTTAGATACAGGCTCATTATGATAAACACAAATTTTATCCGACCCAATAGGTACTTCTTGCTTGTTCTCGCTACAAAGGTCCAAAGTTCGAAGACGCATCAAGTTTGTTGTTCTCGGCACACGCGCACACTTTTGACACGCCAAGATGATCATGCATTCATGCAGAACATTGCAAATGGTTGTGTCTGGTACTCCAAAAATTTTTCAAGTTCAATCTTTAATTTAAACTTTCTTCTAAGTTCTTCATCTTCCATTACAATTTTTATAATTATTTTTATACATTTTCCCCAATGGTCCCCTCGACAAACTGTCTCGCCATGGCATAGGATCCAAACTTGTCTCTACCTTGCTTCATGAGGTTATATCACTTCTAAATCATGGTTTTCCCAGGGCAAGTCTGCGTAAATTTGCGTAATTATCTGCCATGATCTTGGAATGACCAAAAATAATTACACTTTAAAATTGTCACAGCGGCAGACTAACAACTATCATATTAACATTTAGGGTAAGGCCATAGTAGAAAGCTATGCTATATGCCAGAGGGACGGACGCTTTCGGTGTGAAGGACAAACAAGACACGCTCTACGAGTACTATTACTGGTTTCCAGAGTGGCGGCCACTCAATGTATGCCACAAATTAATAAATCTGTAGCAAGCTAGTGTATGCCTAATTGACCATAGCCTTAAACACCTTTCAGCAATCACAGCGAGTTAATAAATATCGAAGAATAGTAATTTGGAAGCATTTTATGACAATATGATGTAGCTTCTCATCAAATGTAGGTATCTCTGTTGTAACGAGTAGTATCTTAGTGGAGCTGCGCAAGAATGTCGCGGCAAGCCGTGTTTTACACAACTCGTACCTAAATGGGGCTATGAACATTAAAAATCGCACATTTTTTTATATGATAGGGTGACAAAAGAACACACAGTCCACCTGATAAGTGGTTGCTGTGGCCCATAGACGTCTACATCTATCCTCGTTTGCGAATCAAAATGCAGATGCATTGCCACGCGTGAGGACTAAGATGGAATGCATCATTTCCAGTAAAAAGTGTCTCCGGTTCTCTACACTCACCATACGAAACACAGCAGTGTTAAGCTGCTATTTGACGCTGGTATTCTGTGAGAGCGTGGTCCTTCCCCGGTCGAGCCGACCCATTCGTGCTACAACTATACTACTAATATAGCTGCAGCACGGTTCTACCACGTAAAAGCGTATAACAGTTTATTAATGTCAACCGAAACTTTAGTTAAAAAATAAATTCAAGGTTTGGTTCACATTCCTTGTCAAAAATAAAATTTCCATTTTCCAAAAATACCGATTGAATCTTGGCATGTGCTGCGTTAACTATAATATATAGAACTTAAATTACGACTATAAAAAAGCTCGTCGGCTATAATATATGTATTTGAATAAAAACATTTCCAGAAGCATAATCTTTTATTCGTAACATAATTTAAAATATAAATCTTGTAAAATTTTGAATAAACTATTCAACAATATAATAAACTCTAAATTATTTATTTAGCTATACAATAATTATTATAAAAATAACAAGTAATACATATATCTCTTAAAACTATTCTTTTACCTTAATTTTCTACGAAGGTCATAATAATTTACGGTTTTCACTAATGGCATTCCACACTCTTAGGTGTACGTATAAATTAAAAATTGCGATTTTTTTAAATGTTCACAATTTAATTCTATGATTTTTAATTAAAAAAAAATTAATAAAACATAAATAGGTTAAGGCTAAGCGGAATAAAAATCGAATTAACGTTAAAACTTACGGTAACATTCTTTTGGCACGAATTACCAAAGGATAAGTAATTAACATCATTCGTTTAAACGCATCATACACATTTGTAAGAATAAGATCTTGTCCTTTTTATTGTCTATTCGTAAATACTGGTTGTTATTTTACAAAGGAAAATTAAGTTAATATTCAAAAAAATGATATCCAAAACAATCAAACAATTAACTAGAAAGAACTTTAAGTTTTAAAATAATTATTTACATACAAATAAAAAAGATAACGGTTTCGACTCGAGTAGTTCAAAATTAAACTACATTGCGCTGAAAATTATGTAACCGACATATTTTAAAATTGCATGTTCTTAAATATTCTAGCATAATATTTTGATACCTCATAACTGTTAAGAAATCAAAACACTTAAATACATTGATAAAATTATCTAACAAATTAATGCAATGGTAACTTTGAATAAATTAACAAAAATATGCAATACAATAAGCAAATAGGTATGAAATTGATTGGGTGGTAGCTATTCGTAACATTTGAAAACAATGAAATTTATATAATAACTTAACATTTTATGTCACTTCAAAGTTTTTTATTTCCATATCAATATTTATTCAATCTATAAAAATAAATAACTAAAACTCTTGAAAATAAATATAATAAATAAGAGTACTCGCTGACATTGGTAACATTTTACTAGCAGTAAAATCCATTGTGAACACAACTAGGTGGACTGCTTTCTTATTTTTTGTTATACATGTTTACAGTCAAAACTTTCTCGGTCCTAAACAATGAAAACAATCAAGTGTTTTTCATTAAAATATCAACTAAAAGTAATTTTGTAAAAGACGTGCATATATTTAGTAAAAAATTATTAATATTTTGCAAAACATTTATTGCCAAAAAAGGACCTACTAATTTTATCTCGGCTGAACTGGATTTTCATAAGGCCGACAGAATCAACTAGATGTCCGTCCAGCTGCACCAACTGTCACTAATATTTGAAAAAATAATATCAGCCCAAGGGCCAACCTAAAATCGCGGACAGCTAGTCTATCCTGTCGGGCTTAGGAATCACTAGATAAATAGATTTAGACCAATCTAAAATTGGGTTTGGCAAATCACAGTGCTTTTGACGGCAGGAAATTCCGGCCTGGCCGACCGTAATTTCAGTCAAAACTACTTCTGACCGAAACTAGCAGTGAAAAGTTTTTGAAACTTTCACTTTAGATTGCTTTGGTCGGTCAAAAGTAGTTTTGAGCAAGAAACTAGTCTGACTGAAACATCGATAAATGAAAAAATTACAACTAAATACAATAACTCAAATATAGTATAAATTTCATCAATGTTTCACATAATTGTATTTATTTGTACTTAAATTTGTTTTATATAAACATTAACATACATAATTATTTTTAAATGTATTAAAAATTATTATGTATATTATACTAAGATTTGTACAAATGTAAAGAATTATTTTCTTAAATAAGATGTATTCATTTTAATTTTTACAATAGCTTATTAAGCACCACTAATTATTTTACAGCTTAAACAAATATGCACCTTATGGTGCTTATAAACAAGCTATATTTGAATGCAATTTTGAGTACTTTCAATTAATAAAAATTATTATATTGAATCAAATGCAAATAAGTTTTAAAAAAATATTAATTTGTGGTAATAAAATTCTATTCAATTCTAACAACCCTAACTACAATATTGCAATAATAATCTGTGAAAATGTTAACCTGTTTAAAAGCACATTTAATTATTTAACATGCTCAGAATAGAAAAAAAATGGTTTACATGTAATCATTTTCATTTAATCAGGAAGTGAAAGAAACTTTTTTTCCATAACCTTGCTTAAAACTAAACATTATGGTAGTCAAATACACAGCATTAAATCAATACTAGTCAATCTCCAATGACGAACAATATAATCACTTGGCTACTGAAGGCACAACACTTCTTCCCAACTCTCTATAATCTATAAAATGTATAAAAATATAGTAGGAGATATTTAAGGCACAAATACTCTCACTGGACATTAATTCCTTTGCCCATGACTTGTCCACATATGTTCTTTAAAGGTTTCTCTCATTGTGAAAGACCTTGGACAAAGATAACAGCATAACCTATTTGTCAGATCTGAATGCATAAGCCGCACATGATACTTAAGAGCTGACTGATTGGAATACTTCATGCCGCAATGAGGACAGTCCCCACATATGGCAGCATGGTTAGATGTTGATGCAACAGTGCCTAAGACTGGACCACTTGACATGCCCGCTAATAAAAGTAATGCTTGTGACTGTTCTTGAGTATATGTGTTTTCCACCTCTGTACCAATTTGTTGCTCCGAAAGCAGTACTTCAGGCTCATATTCTATATCAGAGTGTGGTGAATGCTTCTCTGTCTTAACTAGAGATTCCTCCGCCGATAAACTTTTTATAGGACTTTTTGAAACTGCATTGGTGAAAGTAATAGAATCAGTGTTTATTTCCTTAGGTCTTGTAGAATGTGTATCCATGACAGTTGCAGATTTTTTGACCGGTGGGTTGTTAATAGTGACATCACTCTTTGATGGATTAATACCTGAAAATCATTTAGTATAAAAACAAACTACATATTCCATAAAGAAATAAAAGGATTAATTGAAAAAACATTAATGAATTTAGAAGCCCATTTTTTTTAAAGTACCTGAGAGCAATGATCTGGCAAGCATACTGTTTTCATAATCAGGAAGACTGTCATCATTTTCGGAGTTTATTGTTGGAGGACCTGAAGCTGTTGTATTATCATCAATCCATTCTGTTTTAATTGAAACAGGAACATCTTCTTGAGAATTTCCCTATAACAAACAATAAACAGTTTATTATTTCTTTCGATATCAAAAATTAATGAACTTATGAGACTATTTGCTTTAACTTTTGTATCATGCTATTAATTAAAGAAAAAGTAACTATCCTATACGCATTCTATATGTATACATCTATAGCAAATCGACGGGTTTTTCTCGTTTGCTAGTGAGACTCTACTCACTAGCAAACAAGAAAAACCCGTGAAACCCAGATTGGTGACTTTTACATATTCTAGAAATATTTTACTTGTTTCTTAGATATGGAGAGCCGTGGTAGTCCAGAAGCTAAGCGCTCGCGAGTATCCAATTCAAGTTGTTCTCGCCGCCACCACGGAAATTGTTAATTGCAATTTTATATGCTGACTTGTTGTGAAGCAGCACAGTGACTATTTGCCCCTTAACCCTCTCAGAAATGACAAGTGACCTACACCCTACAGTGGGACTATGTCTATGTCACAGTCAAAACTCATAACCGGTCAAAACCATTTTTGACTGCAAAAATCAGGTAAAAATGGTTTTGACCTATACCCTTAGTCAAAAACAGTTTTGACAGATTTTGTAGTCAAAAGTGGTTTTAACCAACCAACGTTCTTAGTCAAAAATAGTGTTTTCTGATTTAAACTTCAGACTATCGGTCGAAACTCGCAATATCAGTAGCAGCAGGTTAAGGTGTGGCTGGGGTGGCCCTCGGGCCACCCTAAAGCCACGTACATTATAATGATATAAAATATAATATTGAAGAAATTGAACTTTTTAATTTCAGAAATTCAAAATTTATAAGTCAAAAGAAGTTTTGACTAACATTGTTGGTCAAAACTACTTTTAACGGATGTAATTTGGTCAAAATCACTGGAGTGGATTTGACCAATGGCCTTAGTCAAAACTATTTTTGACTGCAAAAATTAGTTAAAAGTGGTATTGACAAACGTCCTTAGTCAAAAATACTTTTGCCTGATTTTTTATAGTCTAAAGTAGTTTTGACCGGTTATGAGTTTTAACTATAGCATTTTATATAAGCTATTAGGTAGTTATCTTTTTTACTTTAACCTAAGACATGGAATGATTAACAGTTTCATTAGTATAGATGTTTTACCCCAAGAACGCGGGACAAACTATTTGCAAACTTTTCTGTTTGATTATTTTATTTTCAACATTAATCTTACATTATTTTTTGGGCTGACTCTATTATATTTAAAAATAATTGTGCAAACAGATACAAATAGTAGCATTTTCATCTGCTTCAACAGCTCTTGACATTGCAGAGTTTGTTGCCAGTAGCAGAAGGCACGCTATACTTCCACACTGGTTAGAACAACCGTTGTTAATTTTTTTTTAAGTTGTGTTAAACACCTAGTAGTAAACCTGGTAATGGACATATTTGTTCTATGCAAGATTTGGTTACACCACCTGTAGCAATGTAGCTTAGCGCTTGGCTACTGTGTGTTATTGCTAGTCGTTATAACCGAAATGTGAGGAATTGAATGTATATGTCTTTTTTTCTTTTTTTTTAATAGCTGTGCTTGCAGGCTGTGTTCTGATCTAAAGGGATAAAGAGCCAGTATAATTAAATACTGTAAGGCATTTCATCTTTGTCCTCAGAGGTGACAATGCATCTGTAGCCTTCTTTATTTAAAATGGTTGCAGATGTCCATGGGCTGTATCAGACATTACCATCGGGTGGAGTAGCTGTAAGTTTATTTGTCACTTTAGTTTTATTAATAAATCATAAATGAAATTTTCTCCTTTAGAAAAAAAAAGGAGAGGACTCTGTCTAGATATTCTCTTATACCAATTTCGACTCCTGACTGAAACTGAAGGAATTGCCATGCATCACAATTGTTAATTATGAGCAATAAAAATGTAACAAATGTGGTTGTTATAAAGTAATTTGCTTAATTTCACGTAAAGAAAGAGAGAAAAGCTGGAGACTTAACGGCCAGCCTCCGCAGAGTCTACTTCACCTGAAGATGCCTCGTGTAGAGGCGAAACACGTGTCGTATTTCGCCTCGTGTAGAAACGAAACACGTGTCGTATTTTCGAGAGTGGTGTGTTGTGCCTAGTGTGGTTGTGCTGGGGATGGTAGTGCTGAGATTGACGGCGACGGGTATAGTGCGTGCGACTGAGCGAAGGTGGGAGGTCCCTGGGACGTCCCCTTAATACTGGGCAGGACACATTATTTTCTTTCTTTCTTTACGCGGAATTAAACAAATTAGTTTATAACAACCCCATTATAATGGATTTCCGCAAAGTAACACTTGATTCTATTAATTATCTTGTAACAAATTTGATTGAATCTATCAATGAGAAATGACTATAGGCAGTTTGTACAATATAAATCTTTGACCAACTTGTTTTTTGTTTCATGTTATATCTTGGACAAGCTGACTACTTTAACAAATAAATTCAAAACTTAACATGAATAATTCAGAAAAATACAATACCTGGTTTGTAGGAGCACCTTTACCATTGGCTGTAACCAATTGACTGTCAACTTTGCCATCACTTTTTTTATCCACATGATTTTCTGTCACAAATACTGGGTTGTCAACTTTAATAGAATGTGAACCATTTCGATTGTAAATATCACATGTTTCTAATACTCTACTCTTTTTATGACTCTCAACATTTATAACGTCACTGGGTTTATCTGAAGTACTGCTACGTCTTTTTTTAAGTGCAGGTATCTTTGTTTCTTTTTGTTGAGTAGCACCAATATTAGATTTTGATGATATTGTCAACTGTGTATATAACTTTGTAGTAGTTCTTGGGGATGAAAAATTTTCATTCTGTAAGCAAACAAATACTATTTTAAACAAATGCAAAGTCTATATATTTGTCTGTGGTGCTATGGGCCACAGGGTTGATTCCTACATGAACAAGTACATGTGTGGTCTACAAATAATTGCTTTGGATCTGAGTGGTTTGTCTAAGTGCGATTTTAGTATGCTATAGAATGAAACATTTTTAAATAATCCAAAAAAGATCTTACACTATTTAAAATCAAAGAACCAAATTAATACAGAACAAAGATCACTCAGTTAAAGAATTCTTAAATACATATTTCAAAAGAAATACAAAACTAGCTTTATTATTAACACTACTGTTACCTTTCTTAACCACTCCAATTAAGCTTAAAATGCTTGTGCTGGAATAGTTCAATGCAGTAGTTGAAAGGTGGGTAGGTAGCAGTAGTATTCCTAACCATTAGGCTGCTGTTGTTTTTAATAAAGTTTATCCTTAAATTAGTATCTGATTAGATCAAAAACTCCTGAAGTATTTATTGATACTGTGATACTTTGGGACAGACAATAAGAATGAAATCATCAGGGTTCCTTTTCCTTGACAGTGGAACGATAAAAAGGCATATCTTCAACAGTATTTTTATAAACATTGGAAATTCATGCCTTTTATTAATGGTTCTGGAAGATGTTTATAACTTTTTTTTTATTGATGATGGGGTAAACGTGTATTCAGCTAACTTGAACTTGAAAAGCTTCTGCAACACTAGAAGAAGTGCAGTTGGGATACCAGCTTTTTAAAAATAAATAGGCTCTTTACTTAAAAGTAGCTATGTACGAGGGGAAGTCAAAAAAAGTTCGCAGAATGACAGGGAAGGATAACGAAATGAAACATTAAACTATTTTTCCTTTTCAATGTATTCTCCCTTCACCCTAATACATTTATTAGATCTGTCAAATAACTTATTAATACCGTCTAAAAAAAGATATCTTGGGAGTCAAAATAGGCCGAAATTGCCGACTTTACTTCATCATCGGCGCCAAATTTTTTCCCATGTAGTTCTTTCTTCATTTTTGGAAACAAATAATAGTCGCTTGAGGCCAGGTCTGGGCTGTAGGGTGGATGGCGCAGTTGTTCAAAACCGCACCGTTGAATAGCACCCGTCACAACATGGCTTGTGTGCACGGCCGCATTGTCGTGCAAAAGGATCACGCCTTTTGTAAGCTTTCCTCGTCTCTTTTGTTTAATAGCTTCTTTTAAATGATCTAGTAAAGACGCATAGTATTCTCCAGTTATGGAAACATCACGTTCCTTGCAATCAATCAAAAGGATACCTTCTGTATCCCAAAAATTCGCCGCCATGATCTTTCCGACCGATTGAGACACCTTATACTTCTTCGGAGGGGGTGTGCCTTTTTTATGCCACTGTATCGGCTCTTGCTCTGACTCAGGTTCATAATGGTGAACCCAAGTTTCATCGCCAGTTACAATTTGGGCCATAACTTCCTCCCTTTGCTCTACACACCAGTCCAAAAACTCGAAACAACTTTCGACGCGCTCGTGTTTTTGATGCACAGAAAGCATTCTCGGAACCCATCTTGCATAGACTTTAGTCATGCTAAGGTGTTGATGTGGGATGTTTAAAATGGTTGTTTCTGATACTCCAACTAATGCTCCAAGTTGTTTTTTCTATAGCCGGGCTTCCGATAGAAGTTTGGCAACTTTTTCGATTAGAGATCAAATTTTATGTGGTAGAGCCACACTGCAGCTATATTAGTAGTATAGTTGTAGCACGAATGGGTCGGCTCGGCCGGGGAAGGACCACGCTCTCACAGAATACCAGCGTCAAATAGCAGTTTAACACTGTTGTGTTTCGTATGGTGAGTGTAGAGAACCGGAGACCCTCTTTACTGGGAAAGAGGCATTCCATCTTAGTCCTCACGAGTGACAACGCATCTGCGTTTTGATTCTCAAACGAAGATAAATGTAGATGTCCATGAGCCACAGCAACCACTTACCATCAGGTGGACTGTGTGCTCGTTTGTCACTCGATCCTATAAAAAAAAAATCTGGCGTGGTAGCCTCAATCGGCCGTCCAGGTCGGGGGTCCTTTTCAATGGAGTACCTCCCTTGTTTGAAAAGAGCATGCCATTTATAAATCATGGTTTTTCCAGGAGCGGAGTCCCCATAAATAGCTGACATCTCTTGAAAAATGGTTTGAGGTGTCTTTCCTTGTTTGGTTGGAAACTTAATGACAGCGCGATATTAAATTTTCTCCATAGTGGCTAGTTTCTTCCCCATTGATTTGTTTACTCATTGATAACTCAGAAGCTAATGACTCGATTAGGCTAAAACTTGATATGTCTGGTACTAACAATGAGTCGCTCAACTAGCGCCTACCTGGGTGAGTAAACTCAGCCTCACCAACACCGCCCCTTCTGCAAACTTTTTGACCTACCCTCGTAATATCAGTCTGAAAAACGGCTGGGGATGGTAAAAGCGGCAATGTGGCTGTGCATGACATAAAATTCCTCAACATGAGTTGTTGTAATATTCTTGAATATGAATATACCAAGTGGTAGATTGCAGATTTATGTCACATTATACAATGTGGTAAATACAATAAACAATGCAAAGATGTTACAGTTGCTTTTTCGTGCTGGTATTCTGTGAGCGTGTGGTCCTTCTCCAGTAGAGCCAACTCGTTTGTGCTACAACTCTATGGCTCTACCACATAAGTTTTTGATAAAATCCTAAATAGGTTATTTCTCTACCATGTATAAGATTTTGATAAAAACCTAAATTGTAAACTGGATGAAACCAGAAATCACACAGGCAACCTAATAATCATAGCCAACTCTAGAAACCTTGAAACTGGAGATATGTCAAAATTTTACATCCTACTGAAATGCTAAAAATATCTTTCATTTCAATAGTATGAGCAGACACAATATACAAGCCTATATTTATAGTATTATTGTTATTAGAGATATCTGTTGAACAGTAAAAACAGCCAGGATGGCTCGATGGCAAATTGTCCATAGAGCCACTGGGGATGTCAATTAATTCACTGTGTTACCAGTTTCATAACCAGTCCATATTTATGGAAAGGTTAGTTGATAGAAAAAGATAGATAATAAATAATTTTTAATCTGTAATTCATTGACAAATTTGAAGATATTGCCAGTCAAAAACCGTCAATTAACACTTTCACTATCCGGTTTCCAGACACAATAGTAAGACAATAGCAATGACCTATAGGTAGTGCACGGGACAGCGAAAGGGTTAAATTGCCTTCAATTCAGCGCTTGTTAATTTTATCTCGCATTAATTATTTTTCTTGTTTTTTATTTGCTGAAAACATCAGATTATCAAGAAATATAAATTATCTTTAATATTAGATGTAGTTTGTGTTGTCATGTTAGCATTGTGTTTTCATTTATTTTTTTGTGTTTTAAATATGCCTTTTTTTCTTACGAAAATTGGGTACTCTCATATTTAAACACGTTTATTACTTTTACTGTAGGCTCGTCCAGTGTTTGTTTTGACAGATTATAGACCGTGCATTGTTTATTGTCTCTTTTAGCATTAATGTTATAATATAAACTTAGGTGACAAAAACGTTTTATTAATTTATTGTATAAATATTTTTTTTCTAACATAGTAACTTAAATAGCTGTGGTTTCCCCAACATTATAATGTAATTGTGATTATAGATTTATAAAGTATAGAGTGTCATTGTAGTCAGAGTTGCTATAAAGAACATTGGTCACGGCCCATACATGCTGTGACCCGGCTATTAAACATTGCGAACATGTATAGATTAATCAATTCTCCCTGGGCACAATCTAAATCCTAAATTGAAAATATATTATTTAAAAGCCGAGAATGATCCTTGGCTTTTGAATAATAGAAAGAAACATCAGCTAAAACAATTGATATGAAAACTATGCAGTAATATATACTTAACCAAATAAGTCATGTCAATGGCTAAAACCACAAAAATGGATATTAACCTTTCTAATCTTTTCTTTGCTTTGACTTTTGCTCACGCTTGACAGTTCTTGTGTCATAATACCACAGACTGCATAGAGACACTCATAATATGTTCCATTCTAAATATTAGTGCATTCTATATTTACTGTCAACCTATCATTTGCAACGTATTTCAGAATACTTTCCATATCCCCATCTAAAAATGATATTATTGATAATACACTACAAAAATAAATAAAAAATTTACAATAAAATCTAGTGTTTAAAAATAGTAAACTCAAAATAGTAGTGTTACTTTAGTGTTATGATGAAACGTGTACCACAGATAAAAACGGAATAGGTTTAGATGCGTTCAAAACCTATAACTAGTAAGGAAATGAGGTTTTTCATTACAAAGCTAAATTATTTTACCAGCTTCAATAAGTTGGACCACGTAATTTAATATACACTTAAGTCACTATTTTTTGATGTATCAATCATTGGTGGTCATTTCATATTTTGGTCAGGTCGTATTTGGCTGATGTTCTTTCACAGTATGCAAGTAGCCCAGGTTTGCTCCCCAAAGAAATAGTGAATTACAATCGCAGTTTTTTGTTTTACAGTGCAGGAAAATATTGTGAGGAAACCTGCACATCTGAGTAATAACAAATAATATTATTTATTAACACACATTCTACATCACAACACACATTTCCTTGCCTTAAAACATTTTTAGATTGTGATGAGAGCTGTCTCCAGCAGTGAGACATATATGATGTAATTTGGTAGTTTTAAAGTATGCCAAAAATTATCACAGCATAGCAATTAACACTTTACCTGATGAGTGACTCCTGTTAGTCCCTTAACTTGCAATAAAGCTGCAGTGTGCAAAAATGACGACAGTTTGCTTTCTTCAATAAATACTTCTCCTTGATACATGTAGGATAATAAGCTGACTATGTCATCAGCTGACACATCTTTCAGAATAATAACAGGATGTTGACATGGGTTTTCCTATAAATAAATTACATGTTAAGCTTTTGTTTTTATAAATAACCATGCAAAAATAGTGGTATAAAAATTGAAATAAGAAGGTTATTAATGCCAAGTCAATCACCTTGAACACATTCCTAAAGTACGGACTGCAAGCTGACAGTATCACTTTATGGGCCTTGATGTTTCGGCCTTCACAGGTAAGCGTGACATCGACCAAATCTTCCGAACACTTTAAGGAATCTAAGGCACTCACTATATTTGTTTGGAAGTTATTCCAGCGTAAACAAAATTGATCTGCCATTACTAAGTTTTCCCTTGAAACATCTGAAATAAAATTACCTTTTTACAGAATAACATAAAAACAGAATTATATCTAAAGCGCATGTAAAAACTATTACATACCGGTTTAATAAAATACATAACTTTGTCACTGAGCATTAGTTTTCGATTATTTTCTTTAAAACCCAAGAAGATACGTAAATAATTACAGAATCCGTGCGAATAAAAATAAAGTACATGACCTCCAATGACACAGTCTTCTTTCACTTTTCTTTTCTCTCCATAGATAAATAAATAGTATGTAGCAAGCTATTTTTTTATAACTGGCTTTAGGGCTCTGGGTTCTTGTCTTTCTGAGCCTGAAGTTACAATTTATAATTATCCTTCATACAATTTATAATTATACTTCACAATATGTTGATGCGTCACGTTGTGCAGCCCTTGGGAGATTTTGACGGCAACTTGAGCCAGTACACAACTGACAGTTGGCGATGGTATCTCAAGGCACCTAAGCAGACATACACCTTATCTTGAGAATCACATCACCATCAGAGCACTTATTTCACCGTTTCCAATAATAGTTCACATGCGCCGCCAGTCAAGTTCCCGCCAAAACCCCTGTAGCAATCAAATGAATTGTTTTCCGAATCAAGTGATAAGGATTATATTACATTGCAAATATTCGTGTCGCCAACTTTAAAACATAATAAATATTCTCCCTACGAGGCTATCTATAAAAAAAAAAACATATGTTCGGCAATGGATTTTTAATAGGCCATAATTAATGAATACAGGGAAATGAAAACGGGTAATACGTTCGTAATCAATTTATTGGTAGTTGTGATAGATTGAGTAAGGAAGCCGACCGCGGTCGTACCATGGTTATAACACTATCGAAGCAGTGCCCTCCGTGTACGTTCCGTGAAGCAAACCCGGTGTCGATAAGACAAACAGAAATAAATGAAATGTTTCAAAGGAGTACTTAATTACATGTTTACAGTTATTATTCTCTGTAATCCCATAATAAGTCTGCGGATATTTTAAAAGAAATATACTGACTGTACTGCTTTAAGTACTTTTCATATTTTCTACCGACTTCAAAAAGGAGCCGGTACTCAATTCGACTGTATGTTTTTTTTAAATGTATGTTACGTCATAACTTTTTACTGGGTGAACCAATTTCGATGATTCTTTTTTTATTTGAAAGGTGATGCGTCACATGTGTCCCATAAATTTGATGAAGGTCTGGACAATAGTTTTTGAGTTATTCTTAATAATCTATATTGAAGTCGGTTGTACAAAATTTTGATAGCAGAAGTGAACGTCCACGGAACTAATAATAGAGATAAGGCAGTGTGAAAAACTATATCGATAAGAATTCTATACCCAGGCCTATCCGTAACGTCCATTCTATTTATGTATAATATTAATATAATGACATACTATAAATAAATGTATCAATTAATACCCTAAGCCTTAGAAGCAAGCTTTATATCTCATATAAACAAGAATCGACGCTGCGTTGATCTATCTACGTTTTTATTCGTAACTACAGAACGAATTTTGTTCCGGGTTTCAAATGAGAAAATGCCTACGCATACCTGCATTGTGGGGGCAAAGGATTATGACGAACTTGTACATTTTAAAACCCCATGATGTTCCACCTTCACCAAACATTGACAGGGCTACAGAAACACTTTCAAGAGCATCCGCGGCCTCACCAGCGAGGACCCCTCCTTAGTTCAGGACTTCCGTCTCCGACTTCCCGAGCCCGATATGTAGGCCATGGAGCCAAGGAAAAACGAGCACTCGAAAGCACTAAGTGGTACAGTCCCGCCAAAGTCGCAAAGGATAGTTGAGTGGCGCTTTACCATACCTATCAATCCTCTTCCCTTGCGACACCACCTTGGCTGCAGCGATATAGAGAGAGGACTCTCCTCTAGCCTCAACTCACTATCACAAATCCAAGTGCTCGACAAGCCTCAGAGTGGCTACTTTGGGCCAGCCATGTGAGGCGGCCTACGTTTACCTACGCCACTACTAATAACCCCCGCCGCCTCCCCCGCCACGACAAGGCTGAAACCCATTCAGGTAGGAGTTATTTTTCACCTAAACTCATGCAAATTCACTCCTTAGTGTAAATTTATACTGGAACTGCAAAATTATTAATGTCCATATAAATTTATTCCCTTGATAGAATAAATTGGTCATAATAATTATACACATTTAACAAACTTACGTCTTGTAAACACAAAGTCATCATCGGTCGACCTTTCTACACTTGGCTATGGCCCTTGAGTCTGGGGGAAAATAAGGAGAGAAGAAATAAAAAAAATAAAAATAATAATCTAATACTTTTATACTTACTGGTACTGGTATTACTATAAAATATTGTGGGTATACTGCTCTGTTTCAAAGTGGTGCGTTCCTCATGTCCAATAAAGCAGTCGTGAAGTGTTTAGAACAAAAACTTTGTTTCGGACGCCAATTCACAATTTTTGTGCTTTTTAGCCATAATTTTAGTCTAGGTTCTAGTTATAGGCAGGTTGGTTGTGAACAGATATGATGATAAAGAAGGTGACAATCATAACACCTCACTTAGAGGCGTTCACCGCTGGTTTCTCTTTCTCATCGGGTGGTCAGACGTCGCCGAGTGTTGAATTATTGTGATATTTCATGATCTCTTAAACTATTCGTTCAAATAACATACTATAAATAACAAAGTTTGTCTTCATAAAATTGCCTTTATGATGAAGTAACGTTCGTTCGTAAGGATTAATATGCAATGTCTAATAATAAAGCTTTTTAATTTTTAATATTTTTTGTCACAATATACCTTATTGCAGCTTATGTATAAGAAAAAGACATATGGTATCGCGGACTTTTATTTAGATGGAAAAAGGATCTTTATTTTTGTAGAACATTGTACTTACGTATCACTAACCATTACGCCAGCGCACGTGGATTAAGCAGTTCTTGAGCGTTTTTTATTCTGACTTGCTTAACAAAAATATATATTAAGCGCTAGCTGAGAAATGTAGCCTAATGCTAGATAGCCCATATAGATCTTCATGGATCTAGCGATGATATACATAAAGAATTTATGAAATTAAACATGTGGTAGAGCCACGCGGCAGCTTTTGCTGTCGCACGGATGGGCTAGCTCGAACCGGGGTGGTACCACGACCTCACAGAAAACCAGCGTGAAGTAGAGGTTTACCTCTGCGTTTCGCTTGGTGAGTGCGGGTGGCCGGAGGCCCTTTTTGCTGGAAATGAGGCATTCCATCTTAGTCGTCACGGGTGGCAACGCATCTACATTTTGATTTGTAATAGAGGATAGATGTAGATGTCTATGGGCCGCAGCAACCACTTACCATCAGGTGGACTGTGTGCTCGTTTGTCACCCTTATCCTATAAAAAAAATGTACTTCCAGAGATTAGCGTATTTTAAACAAATAAAAAACCTCTTTCGCCTTATTACATTAGTATACATTATATCTCATTCTTCCGCAGGCTAATCTATAAGTGTATATCTTTTTCTCTTTTTAATGTCGCTTTTTCGTTTCACCGCGTTTCAAATCACAACGATCTAAAGAAGTTTCACTTTAAAAAATAAATATTATTATTTATAAATTGTTAAAAAAAGTTTAAACCAGATTTCCCAATGAAGAACTAACTAGAAGCAAATGGATTCAGGCATAGAATACTTTTAAAAAATATCAAAGTAAAGTATTGTGAATCAAAATCAACTGTGCAATATTTTTGTATTAAATGAACGCGTTATTTAGTCCACAACCCGTGAGTCCACTTGCTTGTGAACACGACGTTGAACTTTTAAAATGTGTAGTTAATAATATTTAACTCTTAGAATGACAACGTATAGCAAGCAAATAACTAGCACAAAATAAAATTACATAATGTGTAATGCTATTTTGTGCTAGTGTTTTAATCTCTACAATGGCAAAATGTTTTAATATTATAAAAATCAATAAAAAATAAACAGTTTAATATAATGCTCTTGTACAACAGTTTAATATATGCATGTTAAATAATACACTTACCAATTTATTAAACAATACCATGGCAAACATGTTCTTTTTACAGCAAAGGCCCGAGTCCCTCATGGAAACGTGCTAGAAGAATGGACTACCAGGATCCTTTTTGAAACCAAATTACAAAAGACTATATCCTGAAAACTTTACTAACAGTGAATTTAAAGTTGTTGTTGAAAGTTCCAATAACGAAAGGCTGGGCAATAAGAGTCCAATATATGTGAACCATATTTTTACAACTGACATAAAAGGAGTGGTGGCCGTTCATAGAGTGAATGCAACCAAAATCGAAGTCGCATTCAAACAATACATTACAGCTAATAATTTTTAACAAACACGGCTTTCCTGGATAAGTACAGAGTGAAGGCGTATATTCCAGCGGCACAAATTGAAAACCGGGAATCGGTTTGTGCCAACCAATATCTCAAATAAAGAATAATATTATAAACTTTCTTCAATATATGACATAATTGCTGTGCACAGGTTTCTTAAAAAAGTTGATCTGGAAAGGGTGCCACTACAGACTGTCAGCATTACTTTCCTTGCCAATACTTTACTTGAGTATGATTTGTTTTCCTACAGTCTTTGAATATATTTCACTATTGCAGTACTGTTAGAAATGTTTTAAATGTAACTATTCGGCTAAAGTTTCTAATGGTAAACAGCGCTGCAGTTTCTGTTCAGGAGAACATCCTTCCTATAAAGTTTGTGACAAAACCAATGAACTCAGTTGCGTGAATTGCAGTGGATCACATTTGGCAATATCTAATTTATGTCCAATTAAAGTTAAAAAAGGCAGGAAAAGAAGTCTAAAATTACTGATGCAAGCACTGTTGCTAATACAAAAGATTAAAAATATGACAATGATTTTCCAGCTCTTGTCAATAAAACTAATGTTGATCAGAGTCGTCCTACTTCTCTTGTACAGAAACCTGTAAATAAGACTCAGTCTGTGAAATCTATCACACAA